GGGCAAGCAGCTAAAGCCAAAAACTGCCTGGGTTGAAACACTCAGCTGAACCACCTCAAAAAATGATCCCCTTCCGCAAGTTGTTTCAACCATGGCGCGTTGTCCCGAAATGTGACGCATCCCCAGCACATCACCTTGGCAGGTGATGTGGATCAGTGGATCAAGGTGGCTTCGTAAGCAAGCCATAGCAAGCCATGTTTGCAAGGAAGGCGGATCAACGATGTGAAGGGCCCGATTGTAAGACAGTATCAAGATAAGATTTCTGCAGTCTGGTACACGGGCAGAGTCTTCCGAGGGTCAGGTTTCCAGCCCGCCCTCCCCATTTGGGGCACATCTATGGAGGTTCTTTGTGCCACGCAGATCCAGCAAACCCAGCGTTGAAACCAATAAAATGAACAGTTGCTTCTCACTTTCTTCGACTGGCTCAGAACTGCTCGTTTCCCAAAACCGACTTTCCCCAGCTAGACTCAAGCCAAGGCGTGGCTGATTTCCCTCAGAGGAGAACGCCTGGGTTAAAGTGCACCTTGGGCTAATCAACAAATTGAATCCTGGCTAGGAGTCGATTGACTGGTCCAGAAAGCTCAGAGTCGTGTGTTGCTCAAACAACTCTAGCCAAAATGCTGCATTCCTTCCTGACCCAACAAGGCACACTGATTTCCCTCGAAACAAACGAAGTCGCAAGCTCGATTGAGAGCTGGCAAGATCTGGGTGTTTCTTTTTCAAGGGTACCCACTTTTTGTGGTAAAGGACATACCACCATTGTTGGGGTCCCCCCCAATTTTAGCGCCTTCAAAGGGTTCGGAGATCCCCCATTCCATGAAGCAACGCGCATGCGCTCACAATTGACGAGTCCAGCGAGACACATCCCCAAAAAAACTAACCCAAGCAAAATCTAAAGAAGAACCAACCAACTAGGAGTGTCCTAAATTGCCAGATTTATGTGTGGTTCCATTTCTCAGGGCAACCCATTTTGGGTACTCATTCTTCACCCAAGCGACACCGCTCTCGACCTTTGCTGAGGTCAGGGTGCGTTTCAACTGGACCAAGGAAGTGACGGGCTGAACCTCCCCGTTGACCAACGCATCTTGGACTTCCGAAGCTGCAGGCGTAGGTGTCCTTTTAAGGGGAAATAGATAGGTTTCGCTGGTAGACGAAGAAAAACCACCAGGTAAACCAGGAATCGCCATTATTTCTACCAAAAGAACCAAAAAGGACACCTATGGCTGCAAATCCAAGAGCTTTTCGCGCTTTTCTTGGGTGCTTGGTCAGATCTTGCCTGCCTGCCATCTTCTTTTAAACTTAAAAGGACATCCCAGGTATGTGGGATGGCTGAATTCTTGTTCTAGATCCAGTAAAAAAGTTAGAATCAAAATACCAACTTTGTTGTCTATTTTAAGGGAACCCTTCCAACCACAAAAGAAACGGGAGAGAAGGGCACGATCCTGGGGGACCGAAGGCAAATCCATCGGCACACTAAGGCATTCACGTCATGCCCAGCTGTCCGCCACGCGCCGAGTCTCACAGAGCCTGGCAGGGTTCAGTAGTGACTATGGTAAGATAGGTAGCCAAACAGGGATCCGGATGCATTATACACCTGAACATTGCAACTTGTAAATGGTGGTTTCCAATTCTTTATTTTGGTGGAAAACACCATGGTCCAAAAAAGGGCATCCTGTTTTGGTTGCCTGAGCAAGGGAACCCTTGATTCATAGGGCTTCATCTGGCTGTGGGTCCAAAGATAGGGTAACCCCAAATTGGCACCCTGGTAAATGGAAACAATGACTAAAACCTCTGGTCCATTCCTAATGGTGATATTTTGACCCCATATCCTCTTCTCAGGGTTTGATGCGTTGGGCTGTTGGGGCAAGCAGCTTCTGTGGACAAGTTTGCACAGCTCAACATGTTCTCCAAAGTCAAGTTCTCAACAGATGCGCATTTTTTGGCCAGGCAAAAAACAGCCATTTTACCAATGAAAGGTTTCATGGGATTTCCCTTAAACCATGCAGGGTGCTGGACATATACGGAGACCTCCGGGTGGCCTGGGTATGGGTCAAGATTAAACCACCACGGGACCACAGGTTTTAGTCATTGCTTCCATTTACCAGGGTGCCATTTTGGGTACCTTTTTTTTGACCCACAGCCACCTGAGCTACAAACATTTCAAGCCACACCAAAGCGGCAAATGCTTGTGAGCATCAACATCAAACATTCCATGAGTAGGTCTTCGCGATGTTTGATGATGACGCCGACGACGATGCTGATCCTTGAACACTAAACAGCCATGCTTCGCGTGCCCTCACCAAGTTCCTGGAAGTCTGTAACACGTCACCTCGCCGTTCCTCCTGGCAGCGTGGTTGCGCCATGCGCTGCATGATCGTATGTCTTTGGCTTGCAACTGGGAGCAACCAGACATCAAGCAGGCAGCCAGGAGTACCCCTTGGCAAACGTCCGGAGTGTGCGAGATGCCTCTCACTCCAACGGGGGCCTTGCTTCTGCCTTAGGTGTGGGGCCTCCATAGACCCCAGATTTCATGAGTGGAAAAAGGCTTGTGAACACCCTCCTACTATGGTCGCCAAAAACCAACCAAGGGCGGCTCCATAATTGTTGAAACTAGGGTACTTGGGTTTGACCTGTTTTTCGATATGGTTCGACCCCCCAAATAGGGGCTTGCCTCTTGGTTTCCCTTCAAAACCAAGCAAAAGGGGGCTCCCACCCAAAAACGAGCCGTTCATTGCAACTCGTTCGCACAACTGTGGCAGCATGGCGATGGCTTCGCAGGGAACACCTCGCGTGTCTGGGCCTCAGGCTGGCTTTCCTGACTTCAGAAAAGAAACTAAGCTACTTCTTTGGGGTTGGGAGGGAGAAGCTGACAAAGGGGCCCTGGGCAAAATGGTCCGCCAGGGTAGTTATTGGCTTCTTAGAGGATTTCACCAAGGGCCCATAGCCAGTAAGGTGTGGATGTGCCGAAAGAAATCGGAGCGTTTGTTGGCATGTGTCTTTATGGCTATTTGGTTGGATCTTTGGACTCTAACTGTTTTACAGTAGATTTCCCATTAGACCCAGAAAAGTCATCAACTTTTGGCAGAGGGGTCAACAGCAACCAAGGCTTTGACCAGGAAGCACACAACCAACAGCTTCAAGGACCCTAATTCTCCACGCATTCCAATGCGACACAAAGGTGTTGTTCGTTGAGCGCCGCATTGCCCCTGCCTCGTTTTGTGGGGCAGAATAGTTGCACTGTTACGGGACTCTCTGAGTTGCTTGTGGTCAGAGTAGACTGGAAGTAACCCAAATCCGGCAAATCTGCTTCCGCTAGTTGCAACCCAGGAACATGGCTGCTGGCAAAGGCCCTAAATGTCTAGAAGCGGGCTTGTGGGGCAAAATTCGATCAGGATCAGGTAGTATCTAAGCGACCAGGAATTCTACAGGCAATCCTGAGTCTTGGCATACTTCAACTGGAGGATTTTGGGATATGTTTGGAGATTGATGCCCGCTTACAAGGCTCCGGCTGGCGATTGGGATCCATTCATGCGTCAAGACAGGATGCCTTACGAGGCTCCGGCTGGCGATTCGGATCCATGCGTACTCAAGACAGTGTGGGCTTAGGTGCGTTTCCAGGTGCTGCCTTTCTGGTTTCACCGGGACTGTTCAAACTTTGGATAGTTGGCTCCGAACCCTAGCAAACCGAATGATAGAATGTGGGAATCAATCACCGCAGGAGTCAATGTGGAGTGGCTCTAGTTCGACTTCGAACGTTTGGGCCACTTCCAAGCCAAGGGAGTGCCACACGCCACAAGTGGATACTTTGTGTGTGTAAGACCCGCGTGTCATGTTCTAGAAATATATATATATACATATATATATGTATATATATATTATTTATTTATTTATTTATTCATTTATTTACACATATATATATATGTACATACATATATGCAAATACATATATATATATATATGTATATCTATATATATATATATCAGAACATATGCATCATGTGATCAATGAACTTACTTGTGCGTAGTTGTACACATGCAGTAGTGAACGCGCGACTCCTTGGCACTCATACAGCATCCGACTTGTTTACCGCCTCGATGTGTCCGGGCTTTTGGCCGCCAATTGAAACTGCGGCCGCCGCCCAAGCAAAGGGGCGCCAACTTTTGGGCGCCAGTTTTGGCCCCAAAAAGGCAACCAAATCTTTGGTTTCAGTGACGTTGGAGTCACAAGGAGTGGACGGGCCGCCGAAATCCTCGATCTCTGGTTCGGCTCGCTTGTCCCTCGCCTTCGCACCTCGCAAAGCTGACGGGGCCCGTCTTACCTCAGCTACCCACTATCTAGTTCATAGCCAACTACCTGACTAGCAAGGCCAAAACACAAGCACACAACAAGTTTTCATGGTGAAGCAACACAACACCTCCTGACAGTCCGAAAAAAGAGTTCTCCATTTCATTTGATGGCCGCAATCCAGAGAACAATGCACAAACCAAAGCCAAGCTTTTGGTGGTTGCGAGCGAACTGAAAAAAGCAAACACACGCCGAGCTCGCTGTTACTGCAAGAAAACACAGCATTTCAGGCCTTTTCGATAGCTTTGCCACGTGTTTGCGCGTGCTTCTGCATGCGAAGAGAGGACTGTTGTAAAGCTTCGCGCCACAGAAGTTCGTCTAAACTTTGCTTGAGTAGTCAGCCAGGGCCTGAGTGGATTGGTCTTGCTGCCGACCCCTCTGCAAAAAGCTGTTACCTTGTGGGTATGGAATACTCACACAGATTTAACCAGTGAAAGTTCAGAGGTCCAAACAAAGCATCAACCAAAAAGTCAAGCCCATAGGTGAAAAGGTCCAACCAAACAGCGAGAAAGTTATTTAAGGTCCAACCGTCCAAAAAGGTCCAACCAAACATAAAGGTCCAACCGTCCACCAACAAAGTCCAAAGGTCCATGAAGTGATTTCTCCAGTAGCTCCAGTGCCGCTTCACCAAGGATCCCCGCGCGCCTTGGAGAGCTCAGGTGTCCAAGAGGAGCTGTGCTGCCAGCAGCGCCCCCAAATCTCGGCACTTCTCAACGCCTCTGCTGTTTCGGGCTTGCCCCAGGAAGCTCACTGGGGTAGGGATTTTCAAGTAGGGACCTTTTGGGGGACATCTCTTACTAGGTCCTCCAGTGGAGAGGTTAGAATAAGGGTACCCTTTTTTCTGTAGTCAATTATTGTACCCCAAAAAAAACATCCCCCAAAAAAGGGTAAAAGGGCACTACTGGGGGGACCTAGTTTAGGTGGGGATTTGTGTCCAATCACTGAAAGCCCTAGAGGCCCTCTGAAAGCCCTAGAGGCCCTAGTCTACGACAAAGTCTGCGACTGGACCTCCAGAAAAAGAAAGGGACGGAACTCACACCTCGTGTACTCTGCTTCCAGGAGATGACATAGCACATCCATAGGCAAGGCATCATACGATGATGCCGCTTGACAATTATAGGTAACATGCTCGGAAAATGCAATTCTCGAAGAATAAAGGACGCGAGGGGAACTTCCGTGGTATAGCAACTAATTGAAGGGTCCACAAGTTGGATTGACCCGCTTCAGCACGTTTACAGTTGTCACATGGCTCTGGGTCAATATCAAACCACCCAAGAACTGCAGAGCTTCGTCCATGCGTCCTCTTACCAGGGTTCCATTTAGGTACCTATTTTTGACCAGCCATATGGCAATATGGCTGTTGCCCAACTCATCAATCCACTGTGGCGGTCATGGCTCAAGGTCAAGTCTGGCTGTCCGACTTCGGAAAACCCATGGAGGGAGTTGGCAAGGAAGACAGAGGTGCCCGGGGGGGGGGGGAGGACTGGCGGACTGGCACGCGTTAGGGGATAGGCTACGCGCACGCGCACTGACGGCTTTGACATGCTGGCGTTCTGTCCATGTGGTGGCCTTCATTGCATGGGGGTGGTGTTCATCAAAGCATCAGCATTTAGAGCAGTAAGTGCGTGAAGCCTCAAGCGCCCTACTTGAGCACAGAAGTGGCCAGAAACATGACTTGGGGGTCTGATTCCGCGAAACGCACCTGAGCAGCACAGACACCATGGGACTGCATGTCATGGGCGCTCCACGTGGGTCCCAGCAAACAAGTCAATGGCGGGAGGGTGGCGCGCGCTCCAGCGACTGTCGCCAAGACAGGGTCTGCCGACATGCATCTGGATCAGCAGCTTCTCAGAAGAAAGGCCCTGTAGAATGCAGCACATATCACATGCAAAATCATTCTGCAACCAACATACATTCTGCTTGTGCTTGTGCAAAGCTTTTGGATTCGGGATGGCTCTTCCTTGCGCATAGACACCACAGCTTCACGATCTGAGTCCAATTTGCGTCAAGCAAGGCGCTCCACACATGCGGCAGCCACGCGGGCAGGCTTGACGCTACACTTATCGGCCCAGAAGGTGTTGCTTGGAAAGAATTCAGCTTCAGCGAAAAGCACCCCCTCTCATTTTTGGGGGTCCAAATCTCAAATCCTAAACATGCTTGCCCACCCTGATAGCGTTGACACCACTTGCGTTTGGCTTGACAATTCCTGCCCAACAGTGCAGTTTGCTCAGGGGAACCTCTACAAAGGCTGTCGGGCAGGAACCCCTGGAAGATGTGTGTACCTTTGACCCTGTCTTAACTTGCGCACCTGTGATTGTAAGCACCGAAACATTCGGCCCAAACCTCTAGTCGACAGCAACTCCAACACATGGGACGAGTCAGTCTCTCACCACGGGGATTTGGGAATTTGGGTTGATGCTTCAGGAAAAACCAAAAAGAAAGCCGAGACCCTCAAACCCTTGCACCCATCAATCCCAATCTTCAGGCCCTCGAGGTTTGGTGACCTGCCTTCTGTGTCCAAGGTCTTGGCCGCCGCGATGTCAGCGGCACCTGAGCGCGAAAGGGCCTTGGGGACGTGAAACCAAATGGAAGGTGCACAACTGAACCACCAAACCGCACCACCCATTGAGTCAGAACCAAAAACCCGGTATCAAAATGGTCGATCCCTTGCGAACCTTCATCTGCCCGGGTTTTGATTGTGGCGGGGGTGTTCCCTTCAAAGTGGTCTGAACTTTCAAAACGGGACACCCCTCTATTAATCAGCCAGGGGTTTGTTTATTCAAGGGTCTCATTATTTGGGGCCAGTCTCAAAATACGACTTGGGACCTCTGGTACCAACTCCAAGAAAGCAACCAACATTGTGCCATGGCCGAACATTGATTTCTCATGCCTCTGTGACGAGTCAGTCTATACAGTGGGCATACTGCCTATTTATGAATGGCCCAAGCGAAGCAACTAGCAAAATTGCCAGCAGGCGTTTTGGGCGACTCCGACTTCCTTTGATCTTAATTCGGTCGTCCTTGCATTTGTAAGGACTCAGTCTGAAACACAATTCCCATCCATGGTGCCACAAACATGCTGCTCCCCCATTGACCAGTAAAATTGAATCCATGGCCACTCCAAAACCCCCCTACTTTTGACAATGCTCGATTGTTCAAGGAGCTCGTTCTGCAAGTTGTATACCTTGCCAGTCCAGCATTGAATCCTGTATTAGATGCATTGGTGGGAACTTCCATGGCATCGGTGCTGCCCCTGCTGGGTCAAAGAAAGGAGGTATCCAGATTTGTATCTTGAGGTCCAGCCCAATTGATTGAAATTGCTGGAGCTTCCTGTTCAGATTGGATTTTTATTATAGTATTCGTGGACTTGAGTTTCCCTTTGATTTAGTTGCTGTAACTTGGCCATCAACACCAAATGGCGTCCCGGGATGAGGAAAGCCCCTCCTTTGCTGGGTCAAAGGAAGAAGGCATCTGATTGGTATCTTGTGGTCCAGTTCATTGATTGAAATTGCTGGAGCTTCTTGTTAAGTTTTCGCTGGGGGGACAGGCTGCAAGACTTTATTGTAGGGGCCTCTGAACTAAGTCTCGGGCTCAAATTTGGGGGCCTGAAGTATTGCCCCCTTTGTGAGTATAACTTTTGGCAGCTGTTAAACAAGAGACATGTAAGAAACCATGCTTTTGGAAGTTTTCTGGTGCTGTATTTTTCTTAGGAATATGTATTATTATGTTTGTGGGGCTGCCGGGAGGGGGCGCTTGTCAATTTATTCCAGGTGCACTTGCTAATTTCTCCGGCCACCGGCTTGTCCTAAGATTTTAGTCCTAGATTGACATTGAGTTAGGTTACTATCCAAGCTACGAATTTGGCCGAGCCACTACCTATCATGCCCTTGCAGAACTCCCCGTAGCTCCGAAAGGCTTCCTCTTAGCCAAATTTGTATACCTCCAGCTTGGCTCTCTTCCAACTACCAGCAAGGAATGTATCGAACAATACGGGCAACTTTTGTTGCAGTGTTCCTCTTGGTTTCCAAAAAACCAAATCCTTTACCAGAACCACCCTGAAAACAAGCCTTTCCGCCTTTCCTCTTGGCTTCCTTTTAAGCCAATCATTTTCCAGCAAGCTGAAGGTTTTCCTCTTGGTTTCAACATCTTCTTCCAGGGGCATCCCCAGACTAAAAAACAACAACAGCAAAACATGACCCCCCCCAAACAAAAAACAACGACAACAAAACATCACCCGCCCCCCAAAAAAACAAACGAACCCAACAACAACAAAACATCACCAACCCCAAAAAACTCCAAAAAACACAACAACAAAACATCACCCCCCCAAAAAAACAATATATATATATATATATATATTAAAAAAAAACAACAAAACATCACCCCTCCCCAAAAAACAACAACAAAACAAACAAACTATTAATTCCCCCCCCCCCACAAAAAAAGTCAAAACAAAACAAAGAAACAGCAACAAACCATCACCCCCGGGGGAAAAACAAAAAACATAAACAACAAAATCCAAAAAAAAAACAGCAAACCCCCAAAGAACAAAAACAACAAAACACAACAACCAAACATCACCCCCCCCCCCCCCAAGCAAAAAAAGAAGAACAAAACAAACAACAACAACACATCACCCCCCCCCCCCCCAAAAAAAAAACAAAAAACAACAACAACAACAAAACATCACCCACCACAAAAACAACAACAACCAAAAAACAACAACAAAACATCACCCCCAAAAACCGGAACAAACAACAACAACAACAACAAAAACCAAGGATGCGCCCCCGCGTGGGTTTTACAATTGATGTGTGGGATTGTCCAACCTGTTGCGTGGGCTTTTCCAGCACCGCGTCCGACAAAAAACTTGGTTTTCCTCCAACATCTCTTGATAGCGCAATGCTTCTGCTCTTTTGCCCAACTAAAATAGAATGAACCCAAACAGTTGAGGACTCACGGGCAAGCACAAACTGCCAACAGCTTGTGGCTTCTGCGCTTCAACAGGGATGAATCAAAATGATGCAGTCGTGAACCTGGCACGCGTTGCGTTGCTGCACGTGTGTTGCTGGCGTGCTTCGCGCTTCAGCACCGCGCCAGAACTGAGGTTGGGCAAGCGCGTGCGATAGCGGGCGAACGCGCGCGCGTGAACGCAAGTGTGGCTGCGCAAGTGCGCGGTCACATGGGCAGTTCAGACACACATGTCCACATGTGTGTACACGTGGAACGCACGTGTGTATACGACTGAAACAGCACACGCGGCACGCGCAGATGCGCACCCGTGAACACACACATATACATTCACCTGCGGCACACGCATAAATGTGTTGAGCTGGAAAACAAATATGTTCTTCTTGGAAAGCACACACACGTTTGCACACCTGGAACACATTCACCTACGACACGCTAATGTGCTCATGTGGAACACACATGTGTCTTCACTTGGAACACAATGAAACGCGTGTCCAATTCAGACACACATGTGTGTACACGTGGAACACACATGTGTTCACCTGGAACAGAAACACGTGCAACTGAAGCACACGTGTGTGTACACGAGGTGGACGGGGCGGGGTTGGGGCTCCCTGCAACATGACCTGAAAACAGCAAGCAGATGTTGGACCTTGGCTCAATGTTTTGAACGGCTTCCACCATG